CCAATACCTTCTCAGCTTCGCATCGAAGCTAAAATAATATATAATCTATTTTAATATGTTTTTTATTATTAGTAATATTTTTTTAAAATAATTGATTTAAAATTAAACACTATCTAAAGATTTGCATCGAAGCGTTTATTTTTGATAGTGATTTTAATCACTGTCAGATATCATTTAATTGATCCAACTATGCCACGTCACCACTGTGCCGCGACCCCCCTGTGCTGGGTTTTTTTTTTTTATTACATTTTATTTCAATCAATTTTCGAAAAACAACTTCTTTCAACAACAATTTTATTTTTTTTCTCTCTATTATCATACTAATATATCATTTAATATAAAATAAGTTTGCGACAATGCGAATATTTATTTTAGTTACATTAGTTACATATTATTCTTGAATTAATAGCCACGTAACACTTTTTAAGTTCATCTCTTACGCCTTTTAAATGTGTCAAATTTATTTTTTCAAATAGAAATGCATATTTTAAATAAAATAAAATATTCGATTATTTATTTTAATAGTAAATAAAATTTGATTTTATAACAAAACTATTTATTACTTGAAGTGATTACGTTCGTCTGATTGCTCTAGTAAGGCTTAAAAATCAGTTTAAAGGATGAACCTTAATCGAATTCATTTACGTGTTAAATGCCACCTTACTGATTTTTTTCAGCATAACAAATAAAATTGGTTTATTCTTGCCGCATACTACTCGTGTTGTTCCAATGTTTCTTAGGCTGATCATTAAAGCTCATTTATAAGTATATATGCGGCCATAGTGTTGAGTTTTTTAGCTACGCACAAACTTTGAAAAATCTGAAATGTATGTGTAGTGGTACTTATGGAAATATAAAATAGAAATATGTAATTTTTATCTAGTAGGCTTAAAAATTCATTGTGCATTGTTATGTATACAAATAAATATATAAGCATCTTATGAATTAATTTAAATAGAATTCATCAAGTGTCATCGCAGTAATTTCTAAAAATGAAAAATACAAAACTTTTCAATTAAACACACACTTCTCAATCGACAGTACGCAACCAAGTGACAATTTTATATAGTCATTTATTACTTGTATAAGCACAGACTATATGAAAACAAATATACATATGTATCACTTAGCCAAGAACAATAAAAAAAAATCAAGCTCTCTGATTGACAGCAGTTACGGCATTGTATGCCGTTGTACAATTTCACATTATCGTTCAAAAAATTAAAAATAATATTCAAATATCAGTTACAAAAATCATCAATAATATGTGAATTTGAAATATTATTGCGTTTCAATTACTTGAACGATAATTAATTATAACTGTTTGTGTACTTATTATTTTAAATAATATTTTGTCTTAATAAAAATATCTTTTTAAATATTATCTGACGTCATGAATATTGGGCTTAATTTGTATGAAAGTTGAAGTATAGTGTAAAGTTTGTTATTTCAATCATCTTTTAACAACGTTTAGTTTATTTTATCTATAATATAAAGCAGTAATTTCTGATAATTACATGTGCATTGTCATTGCGATGTATAATCTAAATTAAATTTTAATTTTTTAGGATATGCCTCCTAATTTTTTATCAATCAAGTTAATCATACATTATATATTCGTTCATGATAGGAAATTGTAAAAGTTAAAATATGGTATTATATATTAATTTTAACAATAAATTTTATTGAATAAAAAAAATATATTAGTAATAAATTCATGATTAATTAATTAATAAATTACTTATAAAAATCTTCAGAAGGAATTTGTAAATATCAGATTTTAGTTTTAATTTCAGTTTCCTTGGAGTATTATCTGATAGATATAATGGAGATTCAATGATCGAATCACTTGATGATAAAGAAGATTCATAACTACTTTGTTTAACCAATGCATTCTCCGATAGCGAAGTCGGAGGTCCAAAAATCGAACAACGTTCTATGATTTTGTTGTACACACATCGGTCGAATATATTGTCAAGAAATTGTGTTGTGATTATTCATATTATCGTTGTGTTACACCGAGTTGTTATAGGTCTTCTCTGTATGTCTGCATTGTCACCGCCATCTTAACGTTTTTTACCTATAAGCTCTATGATGCTTGCGATCATAGCTTTTGTATACGTTTTGTTGTAAAAGTAAAATATAACCTTTGCGATTGTCGCACACTTGTGCACTCAGTATATCGCCATTGGGTCTATTTTTTTTTTTTGAGATACATCACAGTGCCATTCACAGCATATTGTATACGTTACTTTTACTACATCAAATCGCATTACTTAAATCTGGTCGCGTTTATCGATTTATGGCCTTATAGCGTTTGTGGCTGTTATGATTCTTTCTTAATAAACCCTAAAATTTAGAGAGCCATTGAGCGCTTAATATTATATAAAACAAAACATTTTTTTTATATTTAACTAAATCTAATGATATAAGGATTGCCATTTAAATATCTTAAATTTATACAAGTTTTAAGCATAAGGAATAGTGGTAGAAATTTAATTTTTCTTGTGAATCAGCTCATCAAAGAACCATAATGATTAAAAAAAAATTTTTTTTGAACAATTGTACTTTTTAAGACATTACGTGAGACATAGTTAGCGGATCACTCTATAAAATGTACCATAACATTTATACCATACATGTATATGACTTATTGAAATTAAATATTTCAGCTTATTTTGACTCATTTTAGTGTAAGTAAAATAAAAACACTTGTCTCAAAATGTTAGAACCAAATTTAGATATTTTTTAAATTTCAAAGTGAAATTGTTTTTATGTGCACTATAGTAGCTAATTAATATAATTAAATTATGAACTCATGTTTCACAAATCATTTAATATTTATAAACAAAATAATAAAATGTGTCGATCCCTATTTTAGCATATCTTCTGGTTCCACGACTGTGAAAAATTGTCTGTTAAAAAATGAGTTGCGGAATATTGAATCTTGTAAGAAAAATTTAGTGTTATAAATGTAATCTAGTAATAAAATTTTTCACAATAATCGAACACGAATTCTGATTTTTTTATAAAAAGAAAACATAATTTTTATATTATAAATCTCGATATTACAAGTAGCTCACTTATTCTGGTAGAAGTAACCGGTTACCTCGAATTCGATAAGTATTTGTATAAAATATAGCGTCAAAAACAGTATAAAAAAAAGTATTAAAAATTTAATTATTAAAATAAGGAAAATACAAAAAAAAGGAAATAGTAAAATGTACTCAGAGAAAGGTTGAATTTTATTACTGAGATATGTACCATGAGCGTATTTAGAAATCATTTTTGAAAGGTATTTATTTTTTATTACTTTGGTTAACATAATATAAAAATTTTTTTTTCAAAAATCAATGTGATGATACAAAAAAATGGCTTTTAGAACCATCATTCTTAAAAATCGTCTCTAAAAAATATTGATATTACTGGTCCAAAAGGAGTATTGTAATGATTCTCCATTAATTACGTCTCTAGTATACACATTAGTTAAAAACATTCTAATTATAATAATTATATTCAATTGTAGAATAATTATAGAAAAATTCAACTAGGTTTTATTCCATGAACTATATAAAAAAGTCAATTTCGATAAGAATAGTAGTTATTGTAATGTGACGTTATAAAGCATACTTGTCCCAGATAAGTCCCAATTTTTACGTTAAATCCTTAGACTTATACATCATACAAAGATAACTAAGATAATGAACCGTTCTGTCTTAATAATGAATTTACAAATGTATATATTCATTAACAAAATATACAAAATGTAAGGCAATACGCAAATATAAAAGTATATCCAAATGAATACTCAGTACGTCATGATACAAAAAAAAAGAAAAGATTTTTGTAACAAATGAACAGAAGGAAAATTATTTTTATGAAATCCAAAAAAATGTCTTTGGACAGTTCTGATGAAAATTTTAAACCTTAAATAATAAATTACTGGAATCAGCAAGCATTTTTATAGCAAACGTTTTAAATTTAAAAACGCTCGCAGATAAGTATCACAAATTTTCTAACTTCCTTCAATCGTTTTTTCAAAGTTTTGTAGCTAAATTCTTTCGTTGAAAAAAAAATTTTAAAAACGGAGCACGATAAGTAATTATTCCAGAAGAGTGTTATTATTCTATTATATTAAAAATTAAATTTGTGATTCACAGATCTTTGGTATATTACATCAACAGCTATAAAATAGTATTGTTTAACTTATTTTATCAATTGTAAATTATACCCTACTTAGGTAGTTAATTTACCTATATTTAATACTGAGGATAAAGTTATTTGTTGAGTGAAAACTAAACAATCAATAGATATAGATCATAAGAGATATTGGTTTTATTTAATTTAATGGTTCAATAGTCAAATAGTAATTGACATAAAATACTAGACGATTGATTAATCTCACAAATATTTTTTATTTAATTTGTATGCACAAAACACATTTTTTATAACAGAAAAGTAAATAAGAAATTTAGGAAATCTTAGTTCATTAAATTCTTTTGTTTCTTTATTAATATCAACTTTTATAATATAGTTCTAGAGGATAGTTTTGAAGGTTGATATATTTTAACTTGTCGATGTCAACTAGAAACTTAATATGAATACAAAAAAAAAGACACCGCTAATTATCAAATAAACAGTTGATAAAAATTTTAATATTTTGTACAAACATTGATTTGTATAATTATTTATGATTTTATATGTAAAATTATTATATTTGTAAAGAATTCCGTTGAAATCTAATATGCATTATGCCAGATTTTCCAAAATAACAATATATCTTATATAAAAGTTGTATAATGATTTAATGATAAAATTTCATTTATGTGTAAAATAATATAATACATACAAGAATTTATTTTTTGATAAATTATTGCGAAGACTTAAATATTAACAACTTAAAATTTTAAAAACTTAATAATTTACTTTTAGATTTGATCATGTACAAATTCAATAATAAGCAAATATTTATTTAAAATTTTATTTGAAATGAACAGTGGATATAGGTGTAACTGTAATTTTTTAAAAATGTATTTTAATACATGAATAAAAATTTTATACTGTAAAAAAAATATTATAAAGCATCCTTAGTTCGATATTTTCTATCTTATCAGTTACTTTTACATGTTGAATATTAATAAAGTTTTTAGATTCTAATATTTAATATAAAAGTAGCGCTCCTCGACAATTTAAAAAATGTTAGTTAACACCTTTTATCCAGCGACCAGATCATTTTTATAATTTGTTTTTAATTATAAAAAAATACATTTCTTTTGTAAATAAAATTTTTTTAATATTTCAAAATAGCCAATTTTTAAGCACACTTTTAATAAAAAATTTTAATTGGTCGAAACCACTTTTAGAGTAAGATTGACTCACAAACATTATAATACAAAAAGCAGGTATATAGCATAAATGAGTACAGTTCGTAGTTATGTATATTCATCACCTGAGTTACATACTCACTAATGAATGTATAAAAGTGCTTGAAACTTATTAATTTTATTCTCCTAAAATTAAAATGAACCTATCAAAGTTATTCATAAGGAAAGTACTTAAATAATGGCTAATTTTATACACAAATCATTGACATTTAAAAGAAATTCTTATAAAAAGATTATTATTTATTATTTAAGGGAAAAAGCTTTATTCCTAATTTATTATTTCCATATTGTGTGATCATCAATAAATTGTCATCAGGTTTACAGTCTGATGTAATATCCCATTTCCAGTATTGATCGTTGTCTAAAACAGCATAATTTATTTTTGATTTCATTATCTTCCGACAATTTAAGAACTGTTTTTTAATTGTATCGCCCATAGACTGTTCTTGATTAAAATATAACATTATTTTCTTCATTGTATTTGTAACACAGTCTAGAGGAAGAGTGGAAATAAAATAACGTTTAAATGCAAAACAAATATTATTTAAAAGATTCTTAAATTTTTCTAAAATAACGGATAATACTGAAATATTTAATCTAATATTAAACAAACTATAATCTTTAATAAAATCTGTATTATCATTTAAAGCTCCAATTCTATTAAAAACTTCTATTATAAACAAACAAAATCTATCTATTAACGTTAAACCAACGCTTTCGATAACATTTAGATAATGAGTATAACATTGGATAATATTAGTATTGTTTTTAAGACAAGGTTGAATAATTTCCCCTAGTTTTAAACCAATGGTACCTTTAATAGGTACAGGTACATCAATTTCATTTTTTCGCGTCCATGTCCAAGGTTTTTTATGTTCTCTAGGGTTAAACAAATTAATCGCCACAATATCAGGATCATCTATTATAGTATTTTCATTGTAAGGCATAGGACAACGGGATATATCTTTTCCTGTATAATACTCTTGTTTTTGTAATGTCAATTTTATAAATGCAGGATATTCCCAAAAGAGATTATTCAAATGATCAATTGTGATAGATGTTTGATTTTTAGTATTCTGAAACAATTCTTCAGTCGTAATAACAATGGCATTTAAAATTATTATTTCCAGAAAAATAATTAGCATTTTACTGAAAAAATTCATTTTTACCTGATGTAGTTAATGTTGAATTATTCTATTGTAGTTATAGTTGAATTAAACGTAACTAGTCAAATAATTAGTTATTACAAAAAAAATTAATAAATTTATTGAAAAAAATATGAAAGATTCAAATATTATATAGTTTAAATAATGATTTTTTTACTTTAGAATTTGAAGGTCATTGAATTTATTTTTTTTTTTTGTAAATAATAAAATTTATAACTTCAAGTGATTAATTATTTGTTCAATAATAATGATGAAAGCGTGATATTTGATAGTTTGTGCGTAATGCACAATTTTACTATGATATATATTTTTTTTTTTGTGTCTCTTACCACCTTTTCTCAACTCTCACCGAACGGATTTTTTTCAACGATACGTTAAAAGATTACAAATCTTATCTAGTCAAAGACATTACCCTCAAAAATTGAAAAAATTCCCTATTCCCTTGTAAATGGAGGAAACCTCCAAAAANATATAAATATTCAAATGATATTATATAATTAAACATTGAAAAATTAGCCAATGCTGGAAAAATTACTTAATGTCATACGATTTTCAATTTTTTTTAATGTAAGTACTCAACGACGTAATTCTAGGAAAATTATTAGCGAAGATGAGAAAAAAATTTTTAGCACAATTGAGCGTTCAAAAATTTTATCAAAAACGTCTATTGCCGCCATGGTTTCTTGATTTGAGTTCTGAAATTTTTACCAGACCGGTCAGATACATTCTAAAGATATCCTGATAATGTCGTTAAATTATCAGGATATAATGTATTGATATAAGGAGTATTGTATAGGATGTGTAAATAATATTTATTGTATGATAGAGAAGTTCATTTTTTAAAATTTTTATTAATAACCTTTTTTTATTTCCTTTTATCTTCGATGCGAAGCTGAGAAGGCATTGGTTTTACTATGATATATATTTTTTTTTTGTGTCTCTTACCACCTTTTCTCAACTCTCACCGAACGGATTTTTTTCAACGATACGTTAAAAGATTACAAATCTTATCTAGTCAAAGACATTACCCTCAAAAATTGAAAAAATTCCCTATTCCCTTGTAAATGGAGGAAACCTCCAAAAAAATTACAAATTTAAAAATCGTTAATTTTCGAAATTTTTTTGACTTAAAACTGCCATAACTTTCTTAAAAATGAACATATCAATATAATTTTTTTTATAGATGTTTCATGTCTTTACCTATCCTTTGGTATATTTTTTTTATAAATCTGACTTTTACCTGCCTACAGGGGAGAATTTAAAATGACAACTTTTTCAACTTGACTTTTGAAAGTGTTCCGGAAAGTCTGACACTTTTATATATATCTTAAATTAAAGCTAATGTAATGTGCTTTATTATGAAAAAAAAAATTTGACCTCTGGACTTGTCTTCGTGGTGAAAATGGCTACCAAATTCTATTTTTGTGTGAAAATTCTAAATTTTATATTTTACATTTTTACTTTAAAATGCTATAACTTTTTTAAAAATGTATGGATCAATACAATTTTTTTATGAGAAATAATATTTTTTAATAGTCCCTTTTTCATTCGACATACTTTATCTTTATCAGGATATTAATAAGGAACTAGCAGATCATGTAGCTTTTGGAATAGTCCACCAATTTTTTAAAATTAAACACTATCTAAAGATTTGCATCGAAGCGTTTTTTATGATAGTGACATTAATCACTGTTAGATATCATTATACTTGATCCAACTATGCCACGTCACCACTGTGCCGCGACCCCCCTATGCTGGGTTTTTTTTCTTTTGGAACAAATTTTAATATTATTATAGTATGATATAAAATATCAAAAAAATTTTTATTTGTGGTAGGACATTAAATATTAATGAAAATTTGTATTGATGTATTAGATTCTAATACAGATTTAGAGTTATGGTCTTTTATTTGAAATTCTATATTATAGTATTCATTTCAACGGATTACCTTTAATTTTATAAATCAATTTTTTTAATATTAATGATACTAAAGATAGTATATAAAACTGAAAAATTATTAAAATATTGACCTTTAGTCAATAAATGTAAACTTTATACTCTTTTACTTTTCTCTATTTACTATTTTTGAATTTTACTCATTTTATTAATTAAATTTCTACTATATTTCTGTTAAACTGCTTTTAGAGTAATACATTTCCTATACAACACTGTTTGTACCCGGTGTACTAGGCTACTCCAACCGGAATCAGTGGCGAACCTGTAAGGATAGCCCTAAAGTCCAAACTTACAGTAGGTGCGTGAGGTCCTCAGAGAACCGGGTCTAAGTGAAGCTTAGTATTGAATATTTTAATCTTTATGAATTTAAAGATTTATAATTTTTTATATTATAACTTGGAAATTTTATGCTGAGTTCAGATTTTGAAAAGTTTAATTATTTAAATATATATATATATATATATATTAAAAGCCCTTCAAAAATAGTTGAAATGTAAAATTTAATGAAATTAAAATACAAAAATTTTTCATATCAATTTTTTAAAGATACCTAATCAAAAATTTTTATTTGTGCATAGTTTTTATTTTTAAATAAAAAATTACATTAAAAACTATTTTATTTAGTTTATTTCAAATTCTAACTTGGGAATTGTAGCGCGAACAATACCGCGTGCTATTTAATCAAATAATTTGATTAAGTAACACTAAAAATAAAAATAAATTATAGAACAAAGTTGAAAATTATTAACCACAGCAAACAATAAAACAAAATCCACTTTTTATCTGATACTAGAATATAGTTTTTTAATTAAATATTGCATTCTAATTTAAACACTGTTAATGATTTTCATAACCATGAAAATAGTTAAAAGTACATATAGTTAAATATTATACTGATTAATTGAAGAGACTTACATATATTGATTACAGTTATTAACTGTTGTTATAAGAAGGGTTAAAGTTAAATGTAAAACAAATAATAAAATAATACATTTTTAACCACCGTTCATAATTTGTATCATGAACACCACTAATAGTTATTCGTTATTTTAAAGGATAATAAAAATCAGTGATATATTTTGACCGCAGTTATTATTTTTGTGTACTAGGAGAACTGATAAAAATATACCCAGATAAAAAAATTTTTCTTTATAGTTCACTTATTTTTTATTCTTCATTTTCATTTTAAAATATAATTGATATAAATGAAGCTTGTTATAATGCAAAGTTTTTAAGTCCTAATTCCATAAAAATATTTTTTGCATTATCTACTAAATTACTAGTTGAAAAATAATAATTTTGAATATTTTTTGGTTACAGTTTTTAACCAATTTTCAAAAAACAACTTTTTTGATAAATCAATTTTTTTTCTTTACTATCATAATAAAATATAATTTAATATTAAAGAAGTTTGTAACAATGCGAATATTTATTTTAGTTACATTAGTTACTTAAAATACAAATTATCTTGTTTGAACAAAGTTATCGTAAAATTTGTAAATGTTATTTATTAGTGATAATCATGAATTGTTCAATAATATGGAATTAAAGAAAGGAAACTACCCTTGGGTCATGTATTTTTTATTTAAGTCACACAAGTTGACACTTGATTCAAACGAAAACTGTAACAAAAAAGCTGTTAAAATATTTACAAACTTTTATTTGGAAAATTCTGTTAATAATAAATTATTAAATATGTGATTATAAAAATTAAATCAAATGTGTAATTTATGTAAAATATATTTCATACATTGACTTTATTTTTTTTTATTTACATTGTATGGTTTTAATTCGTTTTTGTGATAGAAAATACATTTATTTGATATTTAAAAAGGAGTAATATTATAAATAGTATTTAATGATATATATCCAAATTTATATAGAATATATAAATAAAAATTCAAGCACAGTAGAGATGCTGCACACTTAGGACTAAAATATGGTATTTGACAGTGATTGAAATCATTATCATAGAAAACAATTTGAACTAAATTCGTAGATAGGTTTTATAAGTATAATAGACTAATTTAGTCTATTATACTATCTGATACATATTAGATATAAGTATCTAGTTGAAGATATTCCTTAAAAATTAGAAAAAATTCCCTCGTTTCCTGTAAATAATGAAAATCCTCCAAAGAATTACGATTTTTAAAATTAGTAAATATTTCCATCTTTTTCTTAAAACAGCCATAACTTTTTGAAAAATGAACGAAAAATATATAAAGGTGTTTATCTAAAAACTTTTTTATATTCACACCTTATGTATTTCTCTATCATTTAATATGTATATTTTGAAAACATGGTCTCTTACCTTTCTACAGAAAGAGATACAAAATGGCACATTTTTACAAAAGTCTACTTTTTCAACTTAACTTATAAAAATGTTCCGGTAATACTGTGTTTTTTAAACATAAGTCAAATTAAAAATTATGTTATGTACTATAAGTTAAAATAAAAATTTGGCCTAACTACCTATCATATATTTTTACGCTAATGTCTGAAATTAGATTTTTTCTATTAACTTTTTTTTTAAATTATTACTAGTTAGTTAGAAACACATGAGAAAATTAATAAAAAAAGAAATTTTTATCAATTTCTTAATTGATTTCAAATGTTTTAAATAATCCGTTCAAAATTTCGTTTTTAACTTATTGTTTTAAATTTGATTTTTATGAAAGTTTATAATAAATATTTTGTTCTTTTAAAAATAAAAAAAAATTTACTTAAAACAATTTTTTATTAAATTATGATTGATTTTTAATATGTTAAAAATATTCCATGCAAATTTTAAATTCAAATTTGATTCTTAACTATTAACAGTAAATTCATAGGAAAATTCATAATTTTGTTATTATTACTATTTTTTTTTGTAATAAATCATTTAAACAGAAGTTTTAGTAATAATTTCTATTTAACTCTTAGTGTTTTCATAATTATTTATATTGATATACTGCATATAATACATTGTGCTTGTTATGCATTTTTTTAATTAAAATATATTTATTAATAATTAATACGTAACCTAATAATCTAACAGAAATAGTTATTATATTAATTAGAAGAATTTTGTTTGTATTAGTCCATATGCGAAATTCTAATTGCAGAAATCATCGA